GACACTTGCCTGCTAACCAGACGGCTGGCGGTTCAAACCCACCAGCCACTCCTTGGAAGGAAGGTTGGGCAATCCTACTTCCGTAGTGATACTGCCCGGAAACCCAAGGAGGGGTCGCTATGAGTCGGGGCTGACTCGACGGCACATAACAACAACGACAACAAATATAAGGCTCTGGTAGGTCACACTGTCTCAGATCATGAACCACTGATGTGTGCAGGGATCCAAGAGTCTAAAATGGAGTCTCAGCTGGAGATTTTTATATTTTGCTGGTCACATGGGTATATTCCTTGTTAAGTCACCAGCCTCAACAACAGCACCTTCCTAGGGTCTCCAGACACACTGCCATTGAGTTGATTCAGACTCATAGTGACCCTGTATGACAGAGTAGAACTGTCCCGTAGGGTTTCCAAGACTGTAAATCTTTTTGGAAGCAAGAGTACTTTTGTCTTTCTCCTGCAGAGTTGCCCAGTGAGCTTAAACAGCCAACTTTTGGTTAGCAGGTGAATGCTTCACTGTGCCACCAGAGCTCCTTGGGGTCTCACGGAGATACAAAAATCATGGATCTTACTATTACCACTAAAGAATACTGACATACTGTCCTGAAACACCTTGGACCCTCATTACAAAGTAACACATTTAGTATGTTTCATACCTTGACCAGTGAACAGTGTCATACAAAACAGCTCAGGCTAATTCCAAGCCTGCTGGTGTTTACAGTTGCAGCACAGAGGAAGTGTCACAGTAGAATTGTCTGGTTAAGTTTCCAGTTAGTAAAGAGGTAGCCTCACTTTCTCATAAGTGCTAGTTTAGTTATTAAGATGTGGCTATGGAATGCTGTTATGATAGTATAAAAGATTTACTTTTTCCCCTCATCCTTACTATTCTTTAACCACAGGTCATACTGCTAGGTTGTGTGTGTCATTAGACTGCACTTTTCTTAGAGAAGATGACATTTATTTATAGCAAAATGCTAATCTGAACTGTCTTTCAACATAATTTTTCTTGCTTGCCTCTTATCCTTTCTTTTCCTCTTACTGTTTTTGTTTGTTTGTTGTAGGTCAGCCATACCTTTGGGCTCGGCTAGATAGAAAACCCAACAAACAAGCTGAGAAAAGATTTAAAAAATTTCTGCATTCAAAAGAAAATTCAAAAGGTTGGTGGATCTTTTTTTTTTTCTTTTCATGATTTAAAGAGCGAAAATATATATATGGCATTTAAATACGTGATATTCTGTATAATTTAAACACTTAGGGGAAAATAGAAAATTGTAATTTAAATATTTTTATATATGAAAGCATATTCTTTATTTTTCCACTCTTCCTTGAAAGCATATTCTTGAAACCTTTAAAAATGTTTTCCTAATATTTCCGTTCTTTATCTGGATGTTATAGATCTGGTTGCAAGATTTGTAGCTAAATATATGTAAAACCTCTTGATCCACCTGTTTTCACTGTGTCTCTCTTCCCGCAACTGTGCCTCATTTCTTGGAGTCCTGGGTTTCTCTAATTCAGCCTCCCCAAAGTCTGCCTAGAGCCAGGAAAGGAAGGGAGCAGGAGTGGCCTCAGGAGTGGCAGGATATCCAGGTAAAAGAGTGTCGAGGCAAAAGCAGGAGGCAAAAGCAAAAGCAGGCCCCAAGGCCCTTAGAGCCAGGAATAGGAGGGAGCTGCCAGGGACCACAGAGTGGCAGGTTCCAGGTAGGAATTAGGTAAGGGGACAGCACAGAGGTTTCCAGCAACTAAGGGAGACAATTGTGTCTGTCAGTTTGTCATCCTGTGAGGCTTGCATGTTGCTGTGAGGCTTGAGACTGTGCCACTGGTGTTTAGACACCAGCAGAGTTGCACATGGTGCACAGATTTCAACACAGCTTACAGACTAAGACAGACTAGGAAAAAGGAGGAGGCCATCCACTTCAAACATTGGTCAGAGAAAACCTTATCAATAGCAGAGAAACAGTCTGATACATTATTGGGCAACTTTATGAATAGCTTGGAAACATTGTCCAACACAGTGCTGGAAAGCAAGCCCCTTGGGTTGGAAGGCACTCAGTATACAACTGGGAAAGAGATGCTTCATGAGAGTAGAACCAACCTTAATGATATGGATAAACTAAATCTTTCAGGACCTCCAAGTGCTGATGTGGCACAACTCAAATTGAGAAATAGCTGCAAACATTCATGAATTGGAACATGGAATGTACGAAGTATGAATCTAGGAAAACTGGAAGTTGTCAAAAATGAAATGGAACACATAAAGATTGATATTCTAGGCATTAGTGAGCTGAAATGGACCGGTTTTGCCCATTTTGAATCAGACAACCATACGATCTACAATGCCAGGAATGACAAACTGAAGAGGAATGGCGTGGCATTTATCATCACAAAAGATGTTTTAAGATTTGTTGTGAAGTACAATGCTGTCAGTGATAGGATAATATCCATACGTCTACAAGGAAGACCCATTAATACTACTACTATTCAAATTTATGCACCAACCACCAAAGCCAAAGATGAAGAAATTGAAGATTTTTATCAACTTCTGCAGTCGGAAATTGACCAAACATGCAATCAAGATATGTTGCTTATCACTGGTGATTAGAATGTAAAAGTTGGAAACAAAGAAGAATCACTGGTAGTTGGAAAATTTGGCCTTGGTGAGAAAAATAATTCTGGAGATTACATGATAGAAGTTTGCAAAAACAAATTTTTTTTTTACAAATTTGCAAATACCGTTTTTCAACAACACAAATTGCAGCTCTACATGTGGACTTCACCAGATGGAGTACACAGGAATCAGATTGATTATAACTATGGCAAGAAGAGATGGAAAAGCTCAATATCTTCACCCAAAACTAGGCCAGGAGCTGATTGTGGAACAGACCATCAATTGCTCATATGCAAGTTCAACTTGAAGACAATTAAAACAAGTCCATGAGAGCCAAAATATGACCTTGAATATGTCCTTTCTGAATTCAGAGACTATCTGAAGAATAAATTTGATGCAGTGAACACTAGTGACTGAAAACCAGAAGAATTGTGGGATGACATCAAGAGCATCATCTGTGAAGAAAGCAAAAGGTCATTAAAAAGACGAGAAAGAAAGAAAAGACCAAAATGGATGTCAGAAGAGACTCTGAAACTTGCCCTTGAGAGAAGAGTAGCTATAGCAAATGGAGTAAATGACACGATAAAAGAGCTGAACAGAAAATTTCAAAGAACAGCTCAAGCAGACAAAGCCAATTACTATAATGAAATGTGCAAAGACCCAAAGTTAGAAAATCAAAGAGAAGAACATGCTTGGCATTTCTCAAGCTGAAAGAACTGAGGAAAATATTTAAGCCTCGAATTGCAATTTTGAAAGATTATATGGGCAAAATACTGAATGATGCAGGAAGCATCAGAAGAAGATGGAAGGAGAAACCTTGGATAAGCAAAGCACTATTGAAGAAGAAAAACAAAGTAGGAGGTCTCACACTGCCGGATCTTAAAACCTACTTACTATACAGCCACAGTAGTC